CGCGCATCAATTCAGCCTAATGGAATTCGTAATTACACGCACTCAACCACAATTGATTGAGCCTAATTGCCAAAACAAGTAATGCGGCTGCTGCAACTCTGCCTATTGCAGTGCATCGCCATTTGCATTATTTTGTATTTTCAATTTTGTGTTTGCAATTTTGCGTGTGTGCTTCTGGCAAAGCCATGTGAAGTCGTTAGATATTACAAAGGCTTTATTTTAATTAAATTTCCATGCAGAATCGATCAGAGAACAACGAGAACAACTAAATTAATGCAGCAGCAGCTTACAGCAATTCAATTTTGAGCAAAAACATGTTAAAATACCAAAATAAATATATTACATGCAAAATACATATACATACATATATGTAAATATAATTTGAGCCCTGCCTAATTTCATCAGAGCCGAGCATATTGTCGAGCGTGATTATGCACTTTGGCTGGCATGGAAATTGATTTGCATTCAAGCAAATTGAGTGGAAGTCAATTCGACTGAGGCATCTCTATTTGTCTTAACACCTGCCGCACACCTGAATTAATTAAATCAGCAACTGGTTGGCTCCAACAGTTCGTGCTTCATTCAATTTAACTAATTTATTGGTTTATGCTTTTAACTCGTTTTTAATGATAAGCAATTATGGAACGAATATGCTTTTGTTTACTCCATTTTGTAATTGAAAGAAAAACTGTATATGTTTAATTAATAATATATGTAAATGAGACTAATTTTGCATAATGCTTAAAGTACTTCAGGGGGGTACTTCAGAGACCCAGTAAGCGATATTTACTGCAATAGCTATTCATATATAAATTTATTTATTTTTTTAATTTATATTATTTGTTTAAAATTATTTAAATATTTTTTTTTATCCCTTTTGTGTAATTTAATCGACCTTTTTATTATTTATATGTTTTGTTTAATTTTATATTATAATTTTTCTTTTATTTTTATTATTTTATATTCTAATTTATTAAACTTTGACATAATTTTTTCATTATTTATTTTTTATTTTCTTCCATGTATTTCCTTATATATATTATAAAAATATAGCTATTTTCAAAGAATAGCAGCATATCACACAGTCAGTCATAAACGCCTGCAGCGTTTCGATTTGTTTATTTTATTTATACCTAGAGCTGCAATTGTAATACTGTTTACCTTTTGCTCGCTATTATTGGAATGTATCCATATGGATTTCACTTTAAGCTCATTTCAATTAATTGTTCATAACAATTGACTTTTAATAAGAGCTGCTTAAATTATGTATATTTTTCACATCATGATTTTCATGTAACTAATTGGTTTTATGCTAATTGGAGATAGGCGTATTGCTGAATATATTAATCGAAGCGAATAATTTGCTCAATTGTTCTGTGGGTAAAACAATTTTGAATGAATATGGATTATTGTTGATATTATACATAACATATTATATATTTATTGCAATTTATTATACATTTTTAACGGATTTTTATTAATAAAAATTGATTTCAATATGTATATGAAGTATTTATATTTACCACACTCAAATGCTGTTAACTTAACAGAAATGTTATTTCACACATTAACAGTCACGGCACGCAAACATGAATTCGCAATGTCCCAAACTAAGGTTCGTGTATTCAATAGCAAAAGCTCTGAAATTGTGGATGGTATTTAACATATAACAGAAACTGGTTTCGCTGCCTCGGTAAACAATTAAAGTTATGAAGAAAATTGGTTTAAACTGCGTTTAAAATTAACTATCAATTAAGTGTTTACACTCAATTAAACACCTCCATGGATTGTTGCTCGGAAGTGTTAGACTAAATGAATATACATACGTATTTATTGATATTCATGCAGCCGTTTAGAGTTACTCGATTGCTGTTGCATTTGACTGTTGCACGTTGACTCACTGGCAATTATGATAGATGGTTGGGTTGCCCTGTTTCGGTGTTCGTGCTGCCTAATGTGGCATAAACTTAACTGATTTGCATGACAAAATAATAGCAAATGCAATCCAAACAAAGATTTGTTGTTCTAGTGACTCTTTCTATCATAAATTAAAGTGAAAAAAATGAAAAAAAAAACCAACGGCAATAAAAACAATATTCAATACGAAGTGTTGACTACTTTGGTCTGGGAGTGTTAGAGAGCGTTATAGAGAATGAGTGCGCTTAATCGTCGCCTTCAATTAATTAGCGAATAACGAATATTGAATACAACTAGAAATAGACATCAATCAATCAAAATTTACTTTTTTTTTGATTGCTGAGATATTTTGCGAATTATAATTAAATTACATGTAGAGATAAAATTAGTTGACTAATGCAGTTCATTTACATTTTAAATTAAAATAATAAATCATATTATAAATAAGGAGTATTATGTATTTAACTATTATATAAAAAATTCATATATATTCATTAATTTACAGAAATAAAATATTTAATAAATTTGTCACTTATTATCCAAATAATTTATTAACAAAAATATATTTTAAGAATATATAAGTATATAAAATTATTTTTTTTTTCTTCGTTTGCTGGCTCAGAGTAACCTCAACTCGGTTGGGAATTGTTATGAGGTTCTTCCTGTAACATAAATTTGAACGAAATATTACAATCTTTATCAACCTGCCAGGCGATAAGCAAATGCCATTAAAATCTCAACAGCTCCAGCCAGAAACAGGCTTTAAAAAAAAAGAAATAAACATCAAAGTATACAAACTTCATTCGACCGTTCATTAACCTCAACCTTAACCTGATTATGCGTTAAATAAAAGAAGAGAGCTGCTCCAGTTAACAACAAAATAAAATAAAATAACAATTTTATATATAAGCTATATTATATATATAAAGACAGCAATTGTCAAACGAGAGAGATAAAGTGTTCAAAAAATAGAGACGACCTTCGCATGGATTTATGGCAACAAAAAACGAAACTGAAGCCGGCGCTGTGTGAGTCGTTTCGATTCGCGAAATTGTTGCTGAAGTGAAAGGCTTGAGGCGAGCTGACATTAAAGTACATTGCGCTTAGCCAGCTGGCCATAAGAACTGAATGGGCTTGGCCAGTGGCTCAGTCTGTGCAATGTTTGGCTTTTGGCCGTGGCCATCCTCACACGTAAGCGGATTATGCAAAAGAGCCATGCAAGATGTTACAGCGCTCTGGGCACTCTGCCCATCGTCATTGCTTAGTCGACCAGAGATGTAAAGCACCTGAGAATACCTGATTCAAAAAACCTAAAAGCGAGACGAGACGAGACGAGAAAAAACAACAAACTGAGAAACGAGCTGGCGAACTGACGCACTGGAAAAATATTGGGGAAATACCTAAAGCAACGGGCAACAGGCAAAAATGTTGGTCTAAAGCAGAATTCACGCTCTTCTTCTTCATCTTTCGCATAGCATGCGCTGCGTCAGCTTTGTTTATTTATTTATGGAAATCGAACGAAAACGGGTCCAAAACAAATTGATAACTAAATGGATTTTTTTTAAGCAAAGGGAGTTTTTTGTTGCTGAGTTCTAGAGGCAATTTGCATATATTAGTAAATTGTGATGTCATCTGATTAATTATTTGAATTAGATGTAATCAGATCATGCATTAAGTAAATAATTACAGATACAGATACAGATACAGATACAGATACAGATACAGATACAGATACA